TGCATGCGTTTGTGCTCTTTCTCAGGTTTAAAGCACAAATAAAGTAACTTGCTGCTGATATCTTTGCTATGGGCAGCGTTCTGCTGCCGCAAACTCAGCATTTGGAAAGGACTGTAGGCCCCTGGAGGAGATGCCCAGACACGTGCAGCTTTGCTAACTAGGAGATGTTGTAAAAGAGACTTGGAAATGAGGCACTGCTAAATGACTTCTCTTGAAGTTAATCCCTCCATGTGGAAGCTCCCTTTTAATTCCTGCGTGCACCCTGGCATTCCCCTCGCCTGGGCTCGTGGAGAGTCTCCCATCATCACTGAAATCAGCCATCTATCAGGTGTGGTTTGTTTGGGAATTAAACGTGGATTCTGAAAATGATCATTTTTCACAGGCGTTTGCTTGTGCTTTGGTGTGACTGCAGCTGTCCCTCCATTTCTGAGGAACAGGTCGGTATCAAAAGGATAGGGAGTAGTTTCCATGTGTAGGTGTTGTTGCATGTTTGTGTTTTCAGTTTATTTGACTGAGAAACCCTGAAGTCCAGTGCAAGCCTGCCAAATTTTTCCTCTGTGACCTCCTCCCAGCTCTCTATTGAGGTGCAGCTCTTAGGGTGATGGCAAGTGGTAGAGGCTCCCTCTCCCAGACGGTGCTGGGGTGTCGGCAACCCTCTCCAGCCCAGCTCGGGTGTGGGAAGGAGAGCTGACTCACTCCTGCAGTAGGACTTGAGAACCCAGCCTAGAAAATAAACGAAGGGAAAAGGCTTTGAATGGGCTAGTGCGCAGGATGTACCAGCCACTTGGAATTTATTGAGGCTGAGTTTGGAGCTTGCTTGTGAGCGGATGGGTTGTGTCTAATGAGAACAACCTTTGGTCTTAAACCTAAGTTCTTGAACTGTGTTCCCCGTCTGCCTTCCTGATAAGGATATCGAGTTATCTGGAATATAGGAATGCAAAGCAGCATCAGCAGGTTTCCCAACTCTGAGTTTGTATCAGTTTTCTTCAGAACATGCTGCCACTCTAGCAAACAGCCTTATTTTGTTGCAAGAAGGCCAAAGGAAACAATTACGATTAATTAGTTTAGCCTTATGTAAATCCTGGGCTATAAAACTTCCCCAGATTGTTTCCTGTTTGAATTCCTGCACATCTTTGTATGGGAACCTCCAGTCTTCAATTAAGAATGGCTTGGGTCAAAGAATTCATGCTGTTCCATCATAATTGATTGTTCTCTTTTTTTTTTTTTTAAGTATCGTATCCCTTTATAACCATGATGAATGGATCTGGCTTCAGCTTGTAAACTTAGCTGCAAGCTGGTAGAGCTGTTCTCTTACTGTAGTCTTATTCCCTGTTTCAGTACTTACAGAAAGTTCATGTTCTGCATTCGTTTCCTCTTTGACAAGCTGAATACATTGGTTTCTTCTTTTGTTGCTTGCCTTTATTTTGAGACAGGATTTGCAGCTCCACAGTGATTCTTGTGATTCTCTGAACTTTTCCCAGTTGTTCAACATCCTTTTTTTGGCATTTGGTTGTATAGGATAGGAGCCTGGCTTTGGCCAGTAGCAGCTGCATCTGCCATGAGCATGGAGGAAATAAGTTCTTGCTTCACACCCCTCTATCTTCTGAAGTCCTCTGACCTCAAACCCATCTACTGTGGGTTGTACCCCAAGCACGGACTTATGCAGTGGGTTGTGCGATCGACATGAGGCTGTAGTACAAAACTGTAGCTGGGAGTTGAGCTTTACAGGGCAACTTCTTTTAAATATGAAGCCTCATTTAAGAAATGAGTACAAACAAACAAAAACCCCCTAAATAAATAAAAAAGGCAGGATTTCGATAGTACCATTACCTCCCTGCTGTTCTTCGACTGTGTGAGCCCGGCACTGGCCTCGCAGCATGGGACGGCTGCACGAGGGTCCCCAGCATTGGGCTGTTCCTGGGACTGCGTGAGACCTCCATGCTCTGGCCAAGGGGCTCAAGGTGGGGTGCAGCAAGGGGTCTCTCGCATTCGTAGCGTGAGCACACATCCACAGTAGTTCCTCCGCAGACCCTCCTTCGTGTGCCCAGTGCTTGCGATACCTGTCCCACACGTGCTCCTTCAGCCACATCTCTCCCTGGGTCCCAAGTCCTTTTTAGAACTCTGCTTCTGATTGTCAGTCACCCACACGTGACTTTGGGGTCTTTTGTTTGCAGCAGTAAGATTATTTTTGTTTGTTTGTTTGTCTTACCTCCAGCTTTATTTAAAACATTTGGCTTGTCTATGGCTGCTTACCAAGTACTCTGTGTTTTGGTTTTGTGATCGGACCTTTTTATTACTCCCTGCCGATGCTGTGTTATGTGCAAACTTCAGTGGTGGTGACTTTTCCTCTCAGGTCATTGATAAAATATTAGAGTATGGGGCCAAGAACTAATGCCTGTGGGAACCCCCTGAAAACATGTGATGCAATCTGCCGATTTGTGTTTCACATCTGGAGATTTCTCATTTCTTTATCCCACTGAATGTGGCCTGTTGACTTCATATTGTTTTTTCCAGTCCATCAGTATTGTCTTACACTGAAAATCGTTTCAAGAGCTCCTTAGAAACTGTTTAGATATTTCGGGTGGTGGTTTTCTAGGTCTGCTAATTAAAATGGTCAGCTTTGAGTAGCTGTTGTTTTTATATTCTCTTACGTTATTGTTGGAATTAAAATAATTTCATTACCATCCTGTGGGATGGCTGTATCATCTGTTCTTATATAAAGAGCAATAATTCAGAACCACCCCCTCCTAGGAATATTCAATTAAACATTTTGATCTTCCTCCCTCCCCCCCACAATAACTGCAGACAAGTGATGGCTTGATCTATAATTAACGTTTTTTGGGTCCTGACAAGCTCAGAAATGATCTTTTTTTCCCCCTCTGAATTGTATTTTCTATTAACTCTTTCTTGTTTTCAAGGTTCTGATTTATGTTAATTCTCATTCATTTTTCCCTTCTTCCAGTAGCTCTAATGTGTAACAGTTTCATAGTTTCCATGGTAAGCAAGGTGTTTGCCCAGTGTGGCCTTCTCTTCACCTGCTCTGGTGAGATGGCAGGGGTTTGTTTTTTGGTTTTTAGGCATGTGCTGAAGTGTTCATAAATGATACACAATCAACATTGATGCCTTCTTCTTTAAAGACCTTCTCTCAGGTTCTCTTGTGGTTTATGGGGCCAGCTTGAAGAGCTTGACCATCTCTTTGGGTCTGCAGAGCATGGGCTGGAGGAAATGTTTGTTGCAGAAGGGTAGGCTGCACTGCCTTGTGGAGTGTTGGCACTGCTCCGACAGCAGTTTGCCTCTGTCTCGCCAATTTGGGGACACAGGAATCTAGTGTCAGCCCCTGCTGAGTCTTCTTTCCTTCTTGAACTTGCCTTTTGGGTCAGGAAGAATAAATGAGGTTAAGTCCACAACAGTCATGGAATCACAGAATTATTTAGGTTGGAGAAAACCTTTCAGATCAAGTCCAACTGTTAACCTAGCACTGCCAAGTCCATCACTAAACCGTATCCCTAAGCTCTACATCTTTTAAATACCACCAGGGATGGTGACTCAAGGACTTCCCTGGGCAGCCTGTTCCAGTGCTTGACAGCCCTTTCAGTGAAGAAATTTTTCCAACATCCAGTCTGAACCTCCCCTAGCACAACTTGAGACTGTTTCCTCTTGTCCTTTCACTTGTTACTTAGAAGAGACTGTCACCCACTTCACCACAACCTCCTTTCAGGTGGTTGTAGAGAGTGAGAAGGTCTCCCCTCAGCCTCCTTTTCTCCAGACTAAACAACCCCAGTTCCCTCAGCCGCTCCTCATAAGACTTGTGCTCTAGACCCTTCACCAGCTTCGTTGCCCTTCTTTGGACACACTCCAGCACCTCGATGTCTTGTAACGAGGGGCCCAAAACTGGACACAGTGTTTGAGGTGCAGCCTCACCAGTGCTGAGTACAGGGGAACAATCACTTCCCTAGTCCTGCTGGCCACACTATTTCTGATACAATCCAGGGTGCTATTGGCCTTCTTGGCCACCTGGGCACGTTTCTGCCTCATATTCAGCCGACTGCTGACCAACACCCCCAGGTCCTTTTCTGCCAGCAGCTTTCCAGCCACTGTTCCCCCAGCCTGTAGCATTGCATGGAGTTGTGACCCAAGTGCAGGACCTGGAACTTGGCCTTGTTGAATCTCACATGATTGGCCTCAGCCCACTGATCCAGCCTGTCCAGATCCCTCTGTCACAAGAATGACCACTTTAGAATGGGCAGTTTTAAATGGCAAGGCACAAAAGTCAGTGACACTTGACAAAACCACACAACTGAGAAAGGAGGAAATTCTTACAGAACCTTAATAAGCTGCTTATCTGTTGTGGCTTACTCTTCTGCCTCTGCTTCTCCAGGGTCTTCACCTGCAGCTTGCAACTTCCTTCCCTATTCTCCTGATCTTTATGCTCTGGAAGGTGACGAGTAGCTCACTTTCTTGGAGCAAAAGTCTGGAAATGAAAGATACAGAGGGAGGTACAGATGAAGCAGGGGAATGCTCTGAATGGAGGAGGGCTAGCCAAAGAAGCTGAAATGCCTGTTCACAGCCAAATGAAGGCAGCACAGGTTGCCCTGTATTACAAGGACTCAAGATGAGAGAGGGCCAGCACACGTTACTAAATAAGCTGTTCCACTAGTTGCTGCATCTCTGGAAAGAAACACAGAGGAGAACTAAATGCACAGCTTTGGTTTTTTGTTTAAGACCTTGTCTTAGGATACAGATGTTTCTATCTACTACTATTTTGAGTCCTGAACCTTAATCCAGTACCACTCCTATTTTTTATTTTTTTTAATAAAGTTGACTGAAGTAATGTTTTCTGGCACTGTGACAAAAGACTTGTCGTAGGAAATTGGAATACCAGCTCTCAAGTATGGGGTGCCTTAAAATAATTTGTCTAGATGAATGCTATGCATACTTTTGAGTATATATTTATTTGATCTTGTTCACATCCTGTCTCCTTGTTTCCTTTCTCTCTACAGCTTTCAGTAGAGCTTCAAAACAAACTGCCTTAGACACCAGTGAAAACCAGGTGAACCCCACCACCCTTGTGGTGACGTGCATTGAAATGCATGTTTCCTCAGAGGGAGGGTGCCAAAGTACCAGTGTTGATGAAGGTACTCGCCTGTACAAAACGGGGTGCCAAAACGATTTCTGTGGGTTCCTGTGTGAATTTCTGCAGAGTTAAGGCTGTACGAGTGCAATGTGGGCGTCTTGAAGTATCTGTCTCATGGTGTGGAGGACCACTGGAGGCGGCTTCAAAATGCAAGGGTTTTTGTGGTGAGGTGGGTTTAGGCAGGGCTGGCTGATCCAAAACAGCTCTAGTGTCACGGCTTCAGGTACAAGGTAGGGATGTTCTTCCTTGGTGTTGTCATCAACAGGTACTATTGCTCCACTCTTCCTTAGCTTTCTGGGGCAGTAGCTGGTTTGACATGAAGCATGCTGCAAAGTTGCAAGCTGGAAACGTTTTGACAGTTTGGGATGGGAAGGCTTTGATTATACCTGCTGTTGGCAAAGTATCAGCTCTGTATGCATCCACAGTGTTTGGGCTCAGTGATGAGAGAGATGTCAGATCAAAACCTAGCATGTTTCTACTGAAAGCAAAGTGTGGGACTTATTTACTGGAAAAGAGTTCTTTAATGTAGTCGTTTGTTCCACTATCTGACGAGATCACATGCTGGAACAGGATTTGACATCAAACTGACTTTTTTTTAGTGCATGGTACTTAATGTGTAACGCTCAGCGACAGCAGCACTGAACACAAAGTCCTGTCAGTGTTGTTTCTCTTTCTGCCCTGATAGTAGATGTCTGTATGATAGAGGGGGCAGCAGTTTCTGCCGGGCAGGGTCTAAAACCCGTGGCAGCTAAGGTCATTGCTAAGCCAAAGGCTGCTGATCCTTGAGCTCTGAATCAGGCAGGGGAATTCATCTCCTGGGTAAGATGATATGACCTGTGGATTTCTTCACATTTGTTTTGTAAAGCCACTCTTATTTTTTTTCCTCCCTCCCTTGTGCTCAAGCACCTGCCTCTTGAGTTCAAGAAAGGGTTATACGTGCGTGGTGTTTCTTCTTTTTCAAACGTTACACACATCTGCAATTTTAACCATTGTGTCGAAGAATATTAGGCAGCATTTATAAAAGCTAATTCGTATTTTCTATAATCAACTCAGGGAGTCTGCCTTTAGGCATTTGAAGAGACAGTCTGACTCTTCAAAACTTAAGAGCGCTTAAATAAACATTTAGGAGCTTAATTTTGGGTCCTTTCTTTTCAAGCCTCATGCTTCTACTTTTAAAAACAAACAAACAAAAAAACCCCAACAGAAACCCCAGGTACTTAAAATAAATCTGTAAACCAAAACCTACTAACTCTTTGTGAGATAAAATGCCCAATCTCTCCTCAAGCTGACAATACTGATAGTAAAGTCTTATTTTATCATAACTAGACAGCTTTAATTAAAGAGCTGAGTTTTGGCGGCTGAAGTGTAGGTTTGCAGCCAGCATTAGGAAAAAGAAGGAAAGATCGCTCCTGCAAGCTGGAACTCTGCCATTTAAACTTTGCACCCATTAAAGAAGTAACATTGTTGAAGAAGAAAATAGAGATTTTTATTTTAAATGTCAAGTGTCCTGTCAGTCAGGAGTGACAAGCCAGAGCGTGCAGCGAGTGCTGCTGATGGAGCAGAAGTTGCTTCCTACCTACACTGCTCAAACTAATTTAAGATCCTCCTTTGAAAGATACTGGTTTTGTCCTCAAGGAGGAGGCTGTTATGAACACTTAAACATGAAACAGCTGAGCTGGAGAGCATCTGCGTTCTGCAGGAGGCCCCCTGCACTAAGGGGAACCTAGACAAAAAATTATGATTTTGCTGGACTCTTCCTAACGGCATCCCGGTACAATGTGCCCACTGGGATGGTTATATTTCTGGGAGGTTGTGCCCGTGGGCAGAGGCTGGCAGCTTCATGTGTTGCTTAACATGTGGGAATTGTGATGAGACCTTGCAGGGTGAGCAGATGAGTGAGCGGCCGCTGGCCTGCAGGGCAGGTTACAGCATCTCTGTTTTAAGTAACCGTCCCTGAATTGCATGGTGCTGATCATCCTTGAGGAGAGAGTTTTGTTTCCATGTAGGCCAGCTGGACAATCTCTGTGACTTCTCACTTCTCTCCCTGGTTACCGTTTCTTCCTTCCTCTTATATCTGTAAAGTCATCTGGGAGTTGGACTTGATGATCCTTATGGGTCCCTTCCAACTTGAGATATTCTATGATCTCTAAAATGGGTGCAAGGCTAGCAGATTCCATTTAAAATACAGGAATCGTGCTGGCAGTGCCCTTTATAAAGGGCTTATCTGTGCCCTTTGACAAGGGATGCTGTTATGTGAGGACTGAGATGAATTTTGTTTGCTTTCCTCCCCCCCCATTTCCATTGTGAAGGAAGCTGATAAATGACACTAAGTGCAGGACACCCAAATGTTGGGAAACACTACTATAATTTTAAGATCTATCTGCATGCATTCAAGAAGAAGCTGGAGTAACTGTTTCATTTCAAAAGTGGCAATGAGTTAAACCAGCGGTGCAACAACAAAATGTGTTATCCCTGCTGCCGAGCTCTTGGGCAGCAAACACGACCGTAAATGCCCACCGGTCAGTTGTAAACTTTGTACACAAAGGTTTCAATGACTTGTCTGAAAAATTTCTTTCACAGCTTATGTTTGGTTAAACACTGGGTAGTTACTTACAAGACACTGGTTAGATGTAAAACTTGCGGTAAATGCAGGTTCCTTCCAAAGAGCCTGCAGGTGTACCTGGGGCGTAACCCAGCAAATTAGTGTTATCTCACAACAAATATCTGTGACTGGCATCGCATGCATGGAGCATAGCTGGGGCAAAAACCCCTGAACAAATGCATCTGTTCCTTTGTTCGCTAAATGGTTTTAAAAAAACATAACAGGTCCCTAAGTATCTTGCCTGGGTGCCAAAAATCATCAGAGACACCAATGACTAAGTTTTGGAAGCAGCTACCTTCTCTGTCTAGGGTGAGTCACGCTGGCTGGAGGTGGCAGGGGAGGCATGCCTCTACTCTTGGTGGTTTGGAGGCTTATGAAAGGCAGACTTGTCAGTCAGGCTTGTCTTGCAGCCTCTGCAATCACTGGTGGTAAAGAGTTGTGATCTTGCTGCTCACCAGGTGGAGAAGGGCATGGGGAGAAGTGACGGAGAGTTTCAGTTTTCTGTGGTTCTGCTGCTCAAGCTGGCAACCCAAGAGCTGACTTACGAGACAAATGAAGTGCATACCAGTGAGCCTGGGGTAAGAAGCAAAAAAAAAAAATAAAATAAGGTGAATAAAAAAAGTAGCCGAGACAAAAGAATGAATGCATCTGACCAGAAAGCATAATCCAGACGCTTGCTTGCAACACAGAATTAATAATGTATTTTGAGGTCTCAGCCAGGGACCCAGATGGGGGGAGCCTTGTTGAAGGGCTTCCAGCTCGCTGACTCACCGCTCTGGTGCTCTGGCCCCTGTGACTCACTCCTCTCTGACTTCGGCTCTTCTGGGGAGAGGGTGGGAAATAGCAAAACATGTGCCTAGCCTATTCAAAAGTTAGACTAGATCCAAGAACTCTGCACTGGGGAAAGGACAGGGGAACGTGAGAAGGATTTTCCTATTTTATATGACTCCCAAGAGGCTTCGGCGAGGAATGAGCAATAGCATCCTTTTCTCTGCTTGTGGACAGCAAGCTTAAAAGTCACTGATCTTCAGGGTTGTTTCTCACCCTTGCCTTAACTGCCTAAGGGCAGCTTTTTTTTTATTTTTTTTTTTCTTTCAACCCATATTTAGTCCTAGTTATTACGGAGTTTAATTTTGTTTTTAATTATCTTTTTAAATCTAAAATACTACTTTTTTTTTTTTTTTTTTAGGGGAGAGGATGTTAAGGATAGTGAAATAATATTTTGGAACAAGGAAAGGCAAAGAAGTAAACGTGGTTCTTGAAACGCACACCCCACACCCCCCCCCCAGTTAGTTAAAAATAAATACGTCTCTTCTTTGCTGGTTGCGGGTTGGAAATATTTGAGTGTTTGCAATGGCAGTGTGTGCATGCATGTGTGCATAATGGGGTGGATTATAGGATTTGCTCAGCATGAACTTCAGCATTTCCAACCGTGTAACCTGAGAAAGTTGGGAAGATGTACAGATTTAATTACCGTGTAAATCTATTAGCTCTGAATTTCCTGGCATTTGTTTTGCTGATGACACAACCTGAATGTTATTCACTTAGTGGATTTTTTTTTAATCCATCCAATTTTTTTTTTTTAATGCTTAAAACGAGTGATTGCTGGTGTGAGACTCCAAATGATCATAGCTACTGCTACGGTCCATCTCTTTGCTGTTTTCAAATACCAATTTCATGTTACTCTTCATATCCTCCCACAAAAGAGGTAGTTTCTATGTAGTTAATGGCTAGACAGTAAAGAATTTTACAGTAAAGTAACTGAGCAACTGTTTCTCTGCATTTCAATTTTGACTTTTACACTGTAGAAGATAAACACCTGGAAATCTGAGGTTCCCTCTGTTTGCCCTTGGCAAGTACATCAGCCAGGGTAGTATAAATCTCTCTGCTGTGTTATCGGCATGTTTTAGGTGTGACTTGAGGGACTGTTTACAGTTCTCAGTCTCTCTGTTCTCTGCTATGGCTGCATCTAAGACTTTTTTTCCTGCCATCAGAAAGCTCTTCTAGCTATTTTGGTCCTTCATCAGGCTGAGAGGGAGAATCTCTGTGTTCTGTTTAAGAGTGAACAGTTAGATGTGCCTGCAGTTGCACGCTCAATACTGTGGTCTGTCCAAGGGGTCTCTTGGCAAAGCAGATATCTGCTCTTTCAGGTGCGATTGCATTAGTTTTTTCAAATATTCGCTGCCAGATATAATTGGTTCTCTCTCCCCAAATTAATGCATACCACCAGTGAGCACCCTGCTGTAGCAAACTGTATAGGGTGCAGCCTTCTGCTTTTCCACTCTTTCTCCTTGTGGAGATGTTGGAGAATGATGCTATGGGGGTGGTTTTGTCTCTCTTTCAGCCCCCATCTTTGGAATCAATCTTATGGAAAAATACTGTATTGCTGCCAGGCTGGCCTTCATTTTTCATCCTTGTAAGAGCAATGCAGCAGGAGCTTGGATCTGTGCCTCGTAACAGTGATGTATCAATGCATCCTATGCCAGTAAAGGAAGCCCTTCTGTTCCCTGCAGAGCACGTGTGTGTGAATCGTGGAGGTGAGGCTACAGGGGCTCCATTGGTAGCTCTTTTCAAAACTAGCAAGGATGAGTACAGCATGATACAAGCCGTGGCTGAGTTTGGAGAAGAGTGAGCGGTGGCCAGCTTCCCTGCTGCAAACATAAAGGTTTTCTAGAAAGGGACGAAGTTGAGAGAAATGATGTGCTTAAAAATCTGCAGAATTTGTGTTTAAATCTCTCTGAAAATTCACTGATGCCCGAGTTCCAGTGAGCACTGAGAGTAGTTGTCTTGGTTGTCAAAAGCTGGTGCACACTGACACCTCCAGTCCATTGCCAATGAACTTGCAACAGAAAGTCAACATCTATGGGAATAAACCACCTGTGTTGAGGAAGATTTTTAACCTGTGCCTTTGGAGTTGGGCATGCAGAAAGTCACAGACTTCTCTGCTGTGTTGTCATCACTGGTAGGCTTGTGTGTGCAGTCCTCTATGCACAGCTTCTCCAGGCACAGTTCTTTGTTAGCTGAAAAGGGCAGATCTCTGCTCCAAACCCTATGGGTAGATGCTGCTCTTGCAAACCCAGGCAGAGATGATGGTGAGGTGCATGATGCCTTTTACAGCTCTTGTCATGCAGTCAAGTCTAGACCTGAATCCAGGAAGGCTGACCAGCATGTATGTGCCATCTTTAACAACTGGTGCCTTGCCTGGGTGCCCCAGAGCTTGAAGCCTTTTGTTTGCAGCTATGACTCCTACTCATAGCTCCTCAGCTACCATGTAAGCAACTGCCAGATGTCCGAAACATGTGCTTGGTTCCTTGGAGAGGAGATGATATCTCCATGTAGCCGCACTTCTTGATCTGTTTGATGCTATTAACTAGAAATGCTGCTATCTTTTGTGATATTTTATCTCCTACACAACTTTGTTTATGCAAACCACAAAAGACCTGCTAAAGAAATTATTCTTTTTTTCTCCCTGTTATGTTAATATGAGAGGAAATTGCATGGGGAAGGAGAGGGCAAATTCATGCCTGTGGTGCATGTTTACTTCTCCACGGATGGGGGCTGTTTGTGGTCTCCCCTTTCTCCCCCTTTTCCCTCATCTTCTCCAGGAGCACTGCCTTGTACATTACATCCACTCTGATTCCTTTGATACAGAAGTAAGGGTGCGATCCTTGCTCTCCATCTCCTATTATTGCCACTCAAGCCTTACAAGAGATAAATGTCAGGTAGTTTTGTACCTACAGTTGGTGGGCTTCATTTTTATCCCATGAGTGCCTGCTTGGATAGCTGGGATGCTCCCACATGGGCAGTTCCTTTTGTGGAGGAGAGATTGATCCTCCACAAGATCAAGATGGGGAGATCTCAGAGCGAGCCAGGAGGGAACCATTAACTCCCAGAAGGGGAATGTCGTGAATTTGCGGCTGGTTCTCACCCTGATACGTTGCCCTGGGCTGCTTGGAGAGCAGGGCTTGCTCTGCAGCGAGCCGGGGTGCTGCCGCTCAGCTCCCCTCCGGGACGGCTCTGCTGGGAAGGGTGGATTGCGCTGCCGCAGTCGGCGCGCGGGACTTGCAGCTGACGCAGTGCGTTTTGCAGGCTCAGCAAAGCCTGTCACTTGTTTAGTAATTTAAATATAGTTATAAAATATCGTTTGGGGCTCTTGACTTCTCATCATTCCTTTTTTAGTGACTTAGGCAATTTTCTGAACACGACTATTCCATTTTTTAAGTCATGGTAATGTGGCATCTCTGGACAGCTGGTGCTAGTGCTGGCTTCAGGTCATCTGGTGGAGCAGCCAGCACTGCCATGCACCTAGCAAACCTGCAGTCTCTGTTTTACTTCAGAGCTGTTCATTTCATCAGACAAGAAAGAAGAAAAACTCATCCTTTAGGCAGAGCTGGAGAAAAGGGCCTTTGTCAGGCAGGAACAGGCAGATGCTGTGGAGAGCTGCAGCCCCGGCAGGTCTGCAGCCAGATACTGCTTTCGAAGAGCTATCCAAAATGTGCCGTGCACCCGGATACGAGAGCTCTCCTCTGTTTGCTTACCATGGGGTGATGTCTGTAGGTGTTTTGTGTTCCTCAAAAGCACCCGGGTTATAGGCAGGAGCAAACGTCCAGCCAGATGGATGGTGAAATTCTGTGGGGCTGCAACTTACTTTTCTCTCTGTAAACTAGAGCGCTGCTGTTTTGTTTGGCTTTTCAGTGTTCTGGGGGAAGGGGAAGCGGAAGATAAGGTTACATGTGTCCCAAAGCCATGACTTTTTACAGAGGTTAGAATCCCAGCTGAACACATCTTTCCCTTATGCAGAGAGAATAGTTTAATAATTCGAGCAGACTCCTTGTACCAACACATGTCTGCAATTAGTGCTGTGGCTGCCAGTGGGATGTGAGGGTAGCAGGAAGCTGGCAACGGAGCTGTCTACAGAGGTATTAAAAACAAAAACAGAAAAGAAGAAGAAAAGGCACATTTTCAATGCAAGTACTCTTTTTTCTCTTTTTTTTTTTTTTTTGTTAATCTGGGTGAAAGACACCAAGCTGAAAGCCCCAGACAAAGAATTTCTTTCTTTTCTAAGCAAATTACATATTCAGACTGTAGGTATAAAATTCTCAGTTTCCTCCCTAAATTGCCTTTTCCTGTTCCTGAGTGCAAGGGCGGTTGCTGCTGTATCAGAATTGAGGGTTATTCTGTGGCTTTCCAGCTCTGGAAGAGGCTGATGACTGCTAAGGTGTATGTGGAAGCAGAGAAAGGAGCATGAAGAGGAGGAGGAGGAGAGTTGGAGGGGAGAGGTGGTACTTTGAAAAGACAGAGGGGAGCCGTTTAGGTGTAGGTGGAAGTTTTGAGGAGTTGGAGAGCTAACTGCTCCTGCATGGTTTCTGCTGTAGCTGCTGCTCAGATGCCTTTTTGTTGTGTTGTGGTTTGGTTTTTTTTTTAAATTCTCTAGGCAAATGGAGTCGCTTACAATTGTTTTCTTAAGGGTGCAGGATGGGGGGAGACAAAATCAAATTGAGCTAGCTTTAAGCATTCACTGTAGTAGAGATGTATATAACATATGAAAGATTCCTGTAAATCAAGTGGTGGTGGTTTTTGTGTTTGCTGAGTGAGGAGAAGTCAAGATACCTAAAATTGTCAGTTCCCTGAGTTCAGTCTGGCCTGTTCCCTGAGTGCAGTCTGGCCTCTGGCAATTGTTTGAGGCTTCTCTATTGACCGATAATCAAAGTTATATCACAGACCATTAAAAACAAGATTTAAAATTATAATGAAACTAGAGAATCATTTAAAAACCTGATTGACCATTTATTTGCTACCATGCAAATTATTTTCTTCCTCACAGCTGGCTGCTTTGCAGCTGCACAGGAAAAGGAGAACGCACAAATGTTGATGAACATGTTGAACATCCTTCCCCACCTCAAGGTCCTCTTTCTCTCTGGTTTTGGGAAGTTGAATATTTGTTTTCTTCTTTGCTTTTCCTGAAGCGGTCTTAGGAAAATTCCCCATTCAGAAAGGAAAAACAAATAAATAAAAAAATCTAATGTACCTAACTTTAATCAAATGGAAGAAGTAAAAAAATATTTGCTATGAATTTCTTCCATATCAAGCCAGTAGCACAGAGAAGGCTAATGGAAATCTTTACTTGTGAATTTACCAAAAATAGCCAAGTAGCCTGTGATCATTTTGTCTTTCAGTTGAGTGACAGATTAGAACATCTAAGTAGTGTCAGACTAAGTCAACACTTAGGTGTGATATCTTCAAGGATGACATCCTCAGATTGGATGACACTGATGATAAAGTATCTGTGTGTAGAAACCAGGGTACAAATATTGTAGCAGCCTTATTTCAATATCTGCTAGTCATCAGTTAGAATAACGCATGCAAGAAATAAAAAGAGGGAAATGTCCTAGCCAGCATTAGGAAAATATGCAAACAAATATAATTGACTCTTTCAATTCACCCGAATGGAAAAAAAGTGTGTAGACTGTGGGGAAAAAACTGTCCCTTAAAAAGACACTGCTTTTTTATAGGTTCATCCTTGACTTCTGTTGTGGTTGGGAAGAATTTCTGTCCCTTGTTTACACTTTAATGGCTGCCTGTCCTGTTTTACTCAGTGTCTATATTGACACACTGGGATGTTCAACTAGTCTTGAGCATCCTTTTTCTTTCTTCTTTGTATAGTGGGGAATTGTAGCTTATATTTTTATTCTTGCAGCTTTTGGGAGGCAGCTGTGGATGTGAAGTGCTAGTGAGTCCTCAGGTATCAAAATTAAAATAAACAAGACTTTCTAAGGTGGTCATGACCCTCTTGCTGAATCATCTGAGAGCTTGTTTAGTTGTGTTATCATTTATGGTGAGTAAACATGAGGCTACAGATCCGTTTTGCCGTTTGTAAAGGCTTTACTTTTAGCTAGCTTGCTGTTCTAGTATAGTAGCTGTGGTCCTCTGTTTATTGCCTTATATTTAGTAAATATTTTCTTTCCCTCGGTGTCAGTCAGAATTGATTGAAGCCTCATTAATTTTGAAAGAAGGCATAGTTAGCATTTGTGAGCATCTTTGAAGAGGCGCTCTAACTTCCAGTCCGTGAGAGCCGACTGTGCTCAGTGTTTTCCAGCATCAGGCTTCAAGGCCACAGGTGCTGCCGGAGCTGTGAAATGTGCATGTGTGGAGGTGTGAATACACCGCTTCCCTCATGGCTTTGTACAATATTGACTTGTTTAATTCTCAATTTAGCCTACAGGAAGCCGAATCTTGAATTTCAGTGTTTGTTTCTGCAGGAGAGAGCAAGACGAAGAGCCAAGATCAATACTCCTTGCAAAAACAGAGCAAATCAAACAGACTTAGGCTTTTGTAGGATCATGCCCCAATCGACAAAGACTCCTACATAAGATAGTAGATAATGCCTGATTGTTTGGAAAAGCTCATTAGAATTCATTGTGCAAATATTTTTGTGCAAAAATAGAATTCTTTGTGTGAACGAGATGAG